TTATAATGCAATGTTCAACCATTCCGTTAAAAAATCCTGTTACCATCAAAAAAATTATGAAGATAGCATAATTTTTTGAGAGCGAGGCCTACGTTTCAGTTACAGTAGCCCTGGACATTTTCTTTGTTAATGGAATAAAACCTGTTTACATTTATATACAAAATTCGATCAAATGACGATCGTAATTTAGCTGTTCTTAAATTAGATTTACGAATTAGGAAATTGGTTCTAGAAAGTTTACGATCCTGTTTAACAGGTGCTATAGAATTGGTATATTATTTGTGAAACCAGTTAATGCAGAAGAAAGTCACCTTAAACTTTTCGTGATAATATGGGCATGTAGTTTTAAGTTAAATAATGAGTAATGAAAAATAATGTAGTACAATGACTTTCACTGCAGTGATACCGTGGTGAAATAATTGACTGTACGCTAAGCTTATGAATAAGATAATCGGAAACCGCGCTTCTACAGCGAATACTGCTTGCCTAGAATCAATCGAAACTTGCATTTACGACTTTCTCGAGAAATGGTACAATAAAATGATTATAATGACAATTTTGTTTTTATTTTTATCATCAATTTGGCAGTAGAATTTTTTAGGCTTGTAAGATTTCCAGTTTAGACTGACTTGGCAACGTCGGCTTTTTGCACTGACAATTTTCAAAGTTTACGGCGATTGATCGAATTGTCATGCGCTATTCTTGAATGAATTTTAAACGTTCCAATTGCAAATGATTGAATATATTACACGTTATTATGAACAAAAGACTCGGACTAAACGTGTTATGGACTATCCACTAAATAAGCAAACAAACTTTCGGTGACCCAAGACACTAGGCCAATGATCTTAAATAAAGGATGAATAAAAATGATAAATGAAGAACTATGATAATAAATGAGCGATAAATACATGAAAATAAAAATATGAAACCGTGTGTCTTTCTAGCCCTTGCCTATCAATTCGTTGTCATGTCCTATATAGGTTCGCAGCCCGCTGAAAAAGCACGAATAAAAACAAATTAAGGGGTTGAATTAACGTAACACTAACGAATGAATTTTACACTCGTAAATAATTAAGTAATATAAATTTAAATATTTATTATCATCAAAAAAAACACCACTACATCAACACGGAAGATTAACGTCTGATAAACAATGCAATTAGGTACTAACCTCTGTGGTGGAACACATAGCAATTACGAAGTACATGGAGGGGAGTGAACTATTACGTCACCTCGTGGTGTAATAACGCATACAAAAACATTTTCTCATTAGTTATTATAATTTTACATATTATTATTTTTATCGAATGTAATTCGATCATTTTGTTACAATATAAAGTTTTATGAAGAAATCGCAAGACGAACACACGCAAAAGCGTATAACAGGTGAAAACAATAGTTCACTTGTACGATATACTGATCAAGTTGGACGGGTCTTATAAGAAAAGAACGCATGTTGCCTAAATTACTTCAAATTACTGTATATCATAGTGATGTCGGTTTGAAGTATAGGCCTGTTGTGCCCTGTCGCCAATTCTTCTATTTTCCGTGACATCTTAACAGAATATTTAAATTAATAGCTTTAAGCTCTAGTTTTAGATTCAAATCATCCATACACAACTCATAAAAAGCTACTGATCACAATGCTGATGCATCACCTCACAACGCGCGCAGTGAAGCTCGCAGTAGGGGTAATCATCCCAATGCAGATTGACTCTTGCTCTATGTGACCGAGTAACTCAGTCAGTGATGAGGAGACGTTGTCGTTTCAGAGAGTCCTCCCAGTTTAAGTACAATCAGATTTTGGAACAGAGTATTTTGAACAGGGTAAATCAAAAGTCAGAATTACTGTTTGCCATGATCAAGCTATACCAGTCTACCAGAAGGTCCGACGAGTTGTTTAAGCATCGTTATAATTGATATTGGTGCACGACTTGACAGTATAAAGTCATGGACGTCTATATGGTTCAAGTTGTATCTCGATGATAATTGCTATGAGAAATGTAAAGTATAACAAGAGAAAATTTATGGGTATAAATCGTGTTAGAAACTAAGAGTAGGAAACTTCAAGTTGAAGGCAAAGTATCACTGATCAATTAATCTCATTGGCATGAAGGAACTAAATTTATTTGTCATCTGAAATGACACGTTACAATTTATTTTAAAAATGTTAATGAGGGATCAAATCAAGTAATTGCCATATTTAAGCATATTTAACCAATATATATTTCTAGGATATTGATCCTAAAAAGTCTCTTACATCAGATCACGAGCTAGAATTTGTCACACGCAACACACTTTCGCGTTTCAGACTCGCTTGAGACTAATCGCTCCGTTTTTAACTAATGCTGAATTATTCGTTGGGATCACAATAATTTAAAAATTAATATAATGAGGACATCTCGATGATCATATTGTTCCTATCAAGAGGATGGACGTACATTATTAATTTGAATCGAACTGGATTTTATAGAACAAGAAGTTTGAGAAACTTTTTGACAATAAAAGCTCTAATTTACTTTACTTCAGGTTATTGGTCATATGAATTACCGTACTCGATAAGAAAAGATAAGTGCCATTCTAATTACAAATTTTTATGGCTTTTTATAAAATTATCAATGAATAATTCTTCCATACACATTATAGATGTTCTCTTTAGCCAAGCTGAATTCGTATGCTGATAATTTAACTTCTGCGAGACGAATTGTCATTGAAAGTCATAAAAGGAATTTTTTTCCACCCAAATCAGTAATCGGTGAAACTTCGAAGCTCATCTCAAAGGTGAACAAGATCCGTAAGGAGGAAATTGTAACCTTTCACTCCCCAGAGCCATGCGATTTCAATGATTTGCTACAAATTTTTGTCAAGTCATTGCACTTGTAATGCAATGAATCGAAATAAAATTTCGGAAGATTCAGTAAAATGTAGACCGTGCATGACTTGGGCTTCAAAATTGAATAAAGTAATAACAAAATTATAGATAAAATAGTTTAGCGGTTTTACATCATTGGTGACATGAATTTCTTTCATGCCGTATGAAAATAGATCTGTCAAGGCACAATTTACGGCCAATACAATTTCCCCAGCTCAGGGAGTTGCTTTTTGATCAAAGTTATGAATTTCACTGTTTAGGGAAGTTACAACTTAAGAATAATATATTGATAAATACCGTTCGAAGAATTATACGTGAAGAAGTATTTTTTTTTCTAAACATTTAATAAAGAAAATATTAAATAATGTATTTTATATTTTTTGGTGGGTATTTTCATGTGAAATATAAAATAACGAACACAATTTGATACAAAAAGTGCACATGCGTCGAACCAAATTACAAAATACTTAGAAATACTTACAAAATAATTTTTTTTATTACTTTGCTGATGATTAGTTTGCTGGATAAAATGATGGAGGATGCTATCCAGATAAATTTCCTTGTTTAAAAAATGTGAAAAACGGCTACATTTTACAACGCAATACATATTATGGTGTAACGGACCCGCTAACATTGTATGAGAAACAAAATTGATTGCGTCACGAAGTGGTTCGATTAATGAGAATAATTAATATGAATCGATTAGAAAGAAGCGAGAACGCAAAATAATAACAAGTGAAAAATTAGATCCTTAATCAATACCAAGCACACACGAAATAATTTATTTGTGTTCGTTAAATTTCTCACAAGAAAACTGTTTGGTTATGAATATTACAATTAAATTGGTTGAAAGAAAAATATAAGCAATCGCACAAATAACATTGGTGCCAAATTTACGGGTGTATTATAATTTTGGATATAATTTTTTCAAGTACAAAATTGAAATGTAAAATCTTACCTCCAATTTATCAAGGCCAAAGTTGCCCCGTCGAGCTCATGATGAGAGGCTTCCGCTGAATTTATGTGTGACACCCATGAAGCAGTTATAGCAGATAATCTTAGAAATATAATTTTGAGCGTCCGTGGAATCGCGAATTTTGTAAATGTCTCTTAAAGGATATTAGAGGAAGCATTCTATACATATCATTTTACAAGACTATTTTATATCTATTCTTCTGAAGTAAGCTGCATGCTCCAACTCTTGAAATACTAGTACATTAATATCCTCTGCTCGAAATGAAAAATGCTCTGAAGGTCAGAAATATATTGATGAAAGAGCAAAACGCGTTTTACGCATAAATTCAGTATACTAAAATTTTGAGAAAATTTGCAAAAAGATTCTTGCTTTAGACCGAAAATGTATTCTTATACACGAGTATCGTGTGTCGTGAGTGGCATCCGAGACGATGCATTTCTTTTTTGCATCATGAATGTAAAAAGATAGTGCACAACTTTATGAAACGCTCAAGTCATACAGTATTTTAAATATCCTACTATCTGAAATATATCTTCAGTTTTTGCATGCGAGCTGCAAGCAAGCAACATGAACTGTTTAGCCTTAAAGAATGAATATATGAATAAAGCTCCTATAAATATATAGCCGTAAAATACTTGAATGAGGAAACCTTTTTCGCGAAAACGCTTCCCTAGCTCGTTTCTTCGTTATCTATGTTTCAATTTCTCACGAATAAAATTCGGCTTTTTCTACTGATAATTGTACTTGTTCTTGTACACAAAGTTTTTGAACTGATGATGGAGCTGGTCTCCTAAACGTTCTCGATGAAGATATGGCAAATTTACTTGGCGGCTTCAATGCTTTAAAATTAATTCTTGATAAAATGCTTGAAATAATTTACATTGTTTGCTATGAGCGTATATAGTTCAGTGTGGATGAGAAAAAAAAATCAGCTTCTGGCGAAGTCAAGACAGCTAAATCGAGATTATGTTCAACGAAAATTGGTGTCGGAGAATGACATGTTCAGAAGCCGTTTGTATTTTACGTACGTTTGATATGAAAATGACTCTCAAATGCTGACGAAACTTGATTATAATGACATTTGTAAGAGAAAAACTTCATTCCAGAATCATTTGATTTTATTTTTGGGGTCCTGTATAGGCCATTGAGTTAAAAATTTTTACGGAAGGAGGAATTAGACAAATCTAATTTCTTTCCACCACCAAACTTCCCGAATTTCTTCCCGCCACCAAATCCACCACGTCGGAAGCCACCGCCATATCCGCCACGGAATCCTCCATAGCCCCCGCGGAATCCACCGCCGCCAAATCTGCGTCCGCCGAATTTTTTGAATTTGCCAGGCTCGGGGTCGGCGACGGGGTTAGGGTCGGGGCTGGCCATGGCTACGGCGGCCAGGACCAGCGTCAGCAGCAGGGCGATGATGCTCTGTGACGGTAGGTAACTTTGCTGTAAAACTTCCTGATTGACTTCTTGCCAATATAAAATGGTGAATTAACGGCCATATGATATTTCACTATAATAGATTCACTTAATAGCGTTCTGCCCAAAAAATGTTTCACTAAAATAGTTTCACTTAATAATGTTCTATATGATAATATTTTGTTTCAAATCGATAAATCTAGTATCGGAATGTTCACAATCGATTGATAAAAAATTAAAAAGGATTCTAAATTAATTGGAAATAAATTATTGCCTGCTTCTAAGAAAAATATTGGTTTGAAGTTTCAACACATCATGGAATCAGTGAGATAAACTCAAAAATTTATATTTTAATGAGAGAAAACATTTACGAAAATGGATGGTGAAAGAAGACCTGCAATATACCCTTGAAAGTCATACTGTTCGCCAGTTTTTAAATATATCGATATGCTCAAAATATTCAAAAATATTAATAATAAAATAGTAATCTGAATTCTAGATCAAACTATTTTTTCGATCAAAATAACGTTTTTAAACGCCTGTTTTTTTTCAGATTTGGAATCATTCATTCGTGTTCCTACCCTGCAGCTGTGGTAAACTTATTTTATCTTATCGGATTGATCGATCTAAATGCGTCTAAGTAATTTCAGTAATGAAACAATGAATCAATCAGGTATAATATGGATCATATGTACTTACAAACTTCATTATTGCGTAGGTGCTGTGATGCGTCAGAGAGCAAGTGCAGTACACGACTGATGTGGTGTGATGTTCGTCGACGCCCTTATATACTCGGGGCGGCCTTCCCTTCAGGCGTAGGGACCCAACAACTCAACTGAGGTGATTGCTATCGTCATCGGGGGTGGACAGTTGAAGCATTTGAAGAAGCCATTACCGTGATCAAGGTCAACTTGGAGGAAAATGTATGAATATTAAACTGATTTGTTTGATTATGCTTTTGTGTAATGTAACGTCTTTTTATCAAGGTGAGATGCATCTGCTCTATTTTTCATTTATGTTACGTAACCAAAAATTAACGCTGAACGAGTGTATTTTAAAGCGTTGGAGCATTCCAATCGAAATACCGGCTGTGAGGTGACTTTAAGGGTGATATTATCAATATCTTCCTCGAGTAATTTTCAAGAGATATCGTAATTAAAATCTAAGCTCACATGTTAAAGTGATACAAATAGCTATAACTGCAAGGATATTATACTTCAGCGAGACAACATATTTTTTATTTTTTTTTTACATCTGAATCTTAAGAAATATCTTTAAACCTAATTTCATTTATAAATTGTAAACAACAACAACATGAAAAAAAGATTTAGGGAGTGTGGGTTGCGACACTTTTATTTGTTCAACTATATGTACATTGAACGATCAAATACGAAAAAGTGCGTAACCCGTGAAATCAAATAATCATCGATTTAATAGTATATTAAATCATTATGCAAGGTATCTATTATTACTGTCGTTATCACAGAGGTTTCTTGAGACCCGTAATATTTAGTTAACATAAATAAATGGTACGTCGAGTCAGAAATTAACGGCAGGTCTGATATGGACGCCTCGGAGTTCAAGTGGTGCACATTCATGGTGCGTGGCTGCATCGGGCGTCGCCAGGGCTGAGGTTTAACTAAATTACTTGCGGAAGTTTCGTGTCGCCCGAGCTGCACGCATCGAGTATTTCTTTGACTAATTGCCCATTGCCTCTGGCGGTTAAACAAATGCACTATCTTTATATATTCAGTTCACACTATCTTTATCTATTCAGTTCACACTATCTTTATCTATTCAGTGTACACTTGAAGAATTAAAAAAAACTGTAAACATTTGAGTAATTCGGATTAAAATGGTTTGGTTGAGTTCGTACGGTAACTGCACTGACGGAAGTCAATACCACAATCTTCGACTTCAAATTGGTTGGAGTGACAGTAACAATAATTAGTATTTTTAACAAGTAATAATAGCAACAATATTTGAGCGAACATCAGTGGTTCTGGCCAGGATGCAAAACAATTGAAGCAGATCTAGAAATAAGTGATATCGTAGGACTTTTGAAGGCAACTTCAAAACCGTATTAAAAATTCCGGCATTTGACTTCTGAACAATCTAAGATGGATTTATGATCTATAAATTATTCAGAGGCTTGTTTAAGTTTTTGCATAAATCGGAAATAATTTTATGAATGATTACAAGTGAAAATTAGGATGTCTCCGCAAATATTACGAGTGATGTTTACATACATGTGATACTTTGGATTTCTCCGTAAATAACATAATAATTGTGCCACGCATGAGTTAATTGAAAACAAAAAAAAGGTAGACTATCAATTGTGCTAAAAAACTCGATAACTGAATCTCTTCTCAGCGGACTAGCCAATTAGGTGACTTGCTGACTAGCCAATTAGGTAATTTGCTGTCTAGCCAATTATGTGATTTGCTGACTAGCCAATTAGGTGATTTCCTGACTAGCCAATTAGGTGACTGGCTGAATAGCTGTCCTGCCGATTAATTGACCAGCTGTTGAAGAAGAGAAGCAACTGGATTGCTGGTCCGCTGTGCCAAATTTGTCTTCCAGCCATGTTTCGGACTAACTTTCTGCATGCAGTTTCATCACGTATCACTATGCGGTCATTGGCAAAGGATGAAAGTAAAATCGGGAGCCATCGTTGCGTTTGGAATTATTATCCAAATTATTATTATTATCGATTTTTATGAAATAATTTTATAAGTTTATAAATTAGTCGTGACTAAAACACAAGGCAATGCGTAAACGAATGATAGAAACATTATAACCGTCGTGTCACGAGAACTGCTTCTTCTCGTACGTGATGAAACCATCACTACTTCTCTCGAATCAAGTTATTATTTTTTTTTTGAAAATTCTGATAATGTTATTGGCGCAAGCCTGCTTGTAGACGAAGACCTCAATTCAAACTAATTACCTCAACTAACCTGTCATCCAGCAGCTGCAAACGCTGCCATAATAATTTTTGTGTGATAATAAAAGTAATAAGGGAACACTATCTCTAATGTCCCTGACATTAAAAACGTTCAAGACTGGATGTCCTGCTCAAGGCTGTTGAGTTTTTGCTTCAGATGTAGGGTTCCGTTAGGTAAGCGATGCGTTCTTGCCACCATCTTCGGTATAACAGGTTTTTGTCTCTTGAAGGTTACGAGTGACGTTGAATAACAGTAGATGAGTGGACCTCACTCAGGAGAGGCTTTTGTGCTCAAAAAATTCATTTGGATTTAAATTCGTAGATGAGCCAGGTCAAAAAAAGTTTTTCACTGATAATTATTAACATTTTCTGACAATAAATCTGATATATACAGTAATGGTATAAAATATATGGGTATTAATAGTATAGCATATTCAACGTCATGTGGCATGAAAGCCGTTTGAGCAAGGGTTAATGTAACCTCGGTAGTTGTCGCTCTCACAGTGGAAGAGTTGGTTACATTCTGTATATTATATGTCACAGTATGTTGTATCATTATGCACTCTGAAGGTTCTACAGAAATTGTGATAGATGTTTGAATATGCCCATAGCAAAATTTTCACGTTATGTCCTAGAGTGAACTATTATGTATAAAAATACTAAGAGTATTAAAATGAGCAACTGCCAGCAGGGTAAGACAAAAGCATCTAAATTTTATTTGGGGAAAGGAAAGTGAGGTTCGAAGAGACAATATGAATTAAATTGAATATAACGCGACTATTTTCCTTCATAAAATACGAAATGTCGAATAAAGCTACATATCACATCCCATGTTATATTTCTAAGTACCTAAGCACTGATTACTGAAACCGGTGCAACTCATGATCACTGAACCCCGAACCGGTGTAATTTGGGAGAGTCTACATATGGTGGACATAGTGACACTTGATACCTAATAATGATATCATTAAAATACCAGTCAAATTCCAGGTTGTAATTTTCTAATTATGTTGATACGTATTTAGTAGGGTTGCTAAGAATAAATTTAATGTTTCCGAAACTAACTGATGTAAGTCAGAGGCATCAGAAAATACAATGTTCTGATTTTACGTCTGCAATGATTTCCGTAATTTGTGGTAATGATTAAAATCATAATTTCCTAAATACGATTGTAAACTTTTTTAGGTTGAGCATATATATGTTGATTGTTGGCTATTCAGTTGACTTACCTTAAAACAAATGTTGCTCACTGCGGAATGCAGGACAGAGCAACACTGTCCTGACTCTGCCACGGCAGTAACGCTTTTACCTGTATGCTATTACTGCCTTATCCAGTTATTCATTATTATATTTAATATATAAAATAATTGAAGTGTCTCACTTTGCCCCACGTCTTACTGTAACCCACTTTATTTGCCCTACGTTTGGCTGCTGAACTTCACATTCAAGGAAATGCTTCTCAACTTTGGCCTTGATAAGTTTGGGCGAGAAAAACGTGTATGGGACTACGTTGCAATATTACAACTTCCGCTGGTTCTCCTCATACAACATTCTTAAGTCAACTCGAAACAGATGTGCGGTTTTTCATTTATTTTCAGCGAAGCAAAAAATTTTCTTATCCAGGTGTCTAACTCTTCGTCCAACTAACGGTAAAGAAGCTACTAAAAACTAAACTGTAATTCATTCGAGTGTAGTTATGTTTTAAAGAAATATGTTTTTGTGACATTGAACTGGCAAGCTTGCATGTTCTGCATTTCATAATCATCATTGAATTACAACAAATGCTTCACGATATGAGCATGCATGGATAGCATATTATCGATGAAGGAATAATTACAAAAAAAAATAATTTAACGGGTTGCACACTGTAGTTGTATAGACATTTTTCGGTTATTTTAAAAACTGAGATGCCAAGCTGTGATGAGAAAAAAAAAAACGGACAAAAATATCACCTTGGATAAGAAGAGACATTGCTTTATACGGTGAAACAAGCCTAACATTTTGGTCCTTATATATTAAAAAAGAATTAAAGTTATTTATCGGTGACTGAGCTAGTAGTCTTAACTTTGTGGTATATATATTTAATACGTGCAATAACGGAAGTTTCACCAGCCAAGAAACAAATATTAAAATGGTCAACTGATATTTGTGCATTGAAGGGTGAAATAATTGGCCCTCAACTTAAGGCCATTTTGTGGCAAAATAGGCGTCATGAGGGCCTTGAAGGGGCCTTGAAGCGATCACGACGATCAAAGCCCGGACATGCTTATGACCCAGCCGTCTGAGGGGGAATGACTTGCGCTGCACAATCGATTAAATTAGAATCTTAGTGTTAAAACTTATTTTATACTGGGGCTAGCAATAAGAGGTACTTACATTAACCCATTCCAATTAGAGGAGCCAAGAGTAATTTCTCGTGGCTTTATATTCCTTCGAGTGTCAACCAATAGTTCCGATCTATTTTTAGCGCATTTTTTAATTTATGGAAAAAAAGACGCTATTGCGCTCGCCATGTCCGTTCGTCTGTCTGTCCGTCCGTGACTTCACGTTTTCGTCGACGAGAAAATGCGCTCTCTGTCACTCACTGCAGTGAGAACTGAGTTATATTTTTTACTTTTCAGGGCCTGGAGTTTTGGATATAATATTATTGCATCATTTTGGACTCAATATAATCGTATAATTAATTTGATTGAACCATATAGTTTAGCTTTACATTAGTTTTTCAGACCGCACCTAGGAAATTTAATAAGTTTTTCGCGAAACTTGAGGCATATATTTCTTTAAAGTGCTTATTTTTGATCGA